TATGTAGAGATATCGGGCTTATCTCACACTTTAATTTTGACACTTATTTTTATTCTTTATTAAATATATATTTATAATAAAGTAATAAGCACACAAATACACATAATTCACATTGAATTAGAATATTTCATCTTTATTACATCAAAAAAAGTTACAATAGTTGACCTAGACTATTACATCATCTAAAAATGCTTAGCCCCGAAACCCGGGCGTTACAACGTCCTCCACCCCCGAACGTTTCCGCCGTTCAGGTTTGGGGGTGTGACATATGGACTACTGTGTGATGTTGAGTGATGCCTTCCTTACAACAATATGCATTGAACTCTTCTACGCAAAACTCAAGTCCATTATCTGTGCGAAGATACTTTACCACCAATATTGATTGCTTTTCAACTTGTACTTTCCAATTTATAAAGGTAGAAAAAACGTCTCCCTTATTTTTCAAGAAGAAAGACCACACCTTCTTGGAGAAATCATAAATGATAGTAACCATATAAACAGCTCCACCTTTCGAAGCAACTCGAGTCGGTCCCCAAAAATATGAGTGTACATAGTCAGGTGGTCCTTTAGTTGTATGAATACCACTCATAAATTTCACTCGTTTTGCCTTGCTATATACACAATCTTTACAGAACTCTAAATCAACAATCTTTTGCTCACCAAGTAATCCTCTTTGACTCAATTCAAACATGCCTTGCAAAATCATATGGCCGAGTCAAGGTGCTAAAGACGGAACCAATTTGGATCAGAAAGATACTTTGAAACAACAACATAATCACTCAAAATCGTTTGTCTATCAAGAAAGTAGAGATCTGAGGTTTTATGCTTGACTCTCAGTTCTTCAGAACCATCTTTGAATACCCTAAGAACTCTACCTTTACCAACAAAATCGTATCCCTTTTTATTAAAGGAACTGAGAGATAATAAGTTTCTTCGGAGGTCAGGAACATATATAACTTCCCTAATGGTTCTGATAACTTCGTCAAACATACGGGTTCTGCCTGAGCCATGTCCAAAAACTAGACATGTATAATTCTTACCCATCAGAACATAGCCTTGGTTAACCCTTTAAATGTCTAAAACCAACTTCTATTGTGACACATATTAAAAGTACAACCATAATCAAGTATCCATTCACCACTGTAATAAGTTTATCTAAATAAATTGTGAGAAGTTCTCCAATACAATTGACCTCTGCTACATCGGCTTCACCCAAAGTGCTAACATGTTTACCATTTGTTGTTGCTTTCTCTTTATTCTTCAATTTGAAGCATTCATCAATCGTATGTCCCTTCTTGTGACAATAATTACAAAACTTTTCTTTGCTTTTAGACATGGATCTAGTCCTGGTGGAAGTTTGAGGATTATTATCTCTATCTGTTGTTCTTCCTCGGGAATTTAAACCTTCGGCTTTCACATCACTTGAACCACCATCAGTAATATGCTTCATCTTCTTTTTTGAATCCAAAGCTGTAAAAACTTCATCTAAGCCAAGAGTTTCATGACTATATATGATAGTATCACGAAAATGACTGTAAGATTCGGGAAACGACGACAACAAGTATAAAGCTAAATCTTCATCTTCATATCGAACATACATATTCTCTAAGTTACTAACTCTTTGAATGTGGATAAATGCTCAGCTAAAGAACCTCCTTCATTCATTTTAATATTGAGCAACCGATTCTTTAAATGTAACTTATTTGGTAGGCTCTTTGTCATCAACAATTGCTCCAACTTTAACCACAAAGCAGTCGCTGGAGTTTCTTTCAAAACATCTTGCAAAAAATCATTTTACAAAAGCAAATGAATACGGGATTGGGCTGTTAAATCTTTCGTCTTTTTTTCTTCTTCCATCCACAAAGCGGGCATCTTCTCGGAACCCAGAAGCGCCTTGTGTCAATCCATCTGAATAAGAACATCTTTCATCTTAACTTGCAATAGGAGAACTCTGGTGTTTTGATCCAACAACGGAATATCGTACTTCATCGAATACATGATCAATCACTTGATAATATGATCCTAATAAAGTAATATTAAAACATGTAAGCTCTAATACCAATTGTAATAAACAAATAGGATAAGATGTGCTAAAACAAAAAAGCCCTAATGCATCAAACAACCCAGAAATCCGAAACACAAGAGCAATATTAGTTCAAGCACAATAGGACTAAAATATCAAACCACAATCAATCACATGCAATGAAAAATACCAAGCAAAAAATAAATCAAAGAGGCACAAACATTTATGTGGAAAACCCAAATCGGGAAAAAACCACGGGTGGAGGAATCCGAGAACCAATCCACTAAAATATTACAGTGTTTACAAAGCTTGATCAAAGAGATTACAATGAACTATAATGATTTGGTGATAAAAGGGAAAAACCCTTGAAAATGTCATTCAAGAAAGGTGGAAGAAGAAGAAGAAGTCTTGAAAACTCTCTCACTTGATTTTTCTGCGTTCGAAAAATAAAACAGGAAAAGGTTTGACCAATTTGGCTAATTTGGTCCTTCAAGAATGAAGTATCCACATTTTAGGAACATGCCTTTTTAGACCTGAAAGCACCCATTTTAGACATGGTGCCCTTTTTAGACCTGAAACAACCATTTTAGACATGGTTTCCTTTTTAGACCCAGGACAACCAAAGTAGACATGGATTACTGGAAAGCCAAAATAGCCATTGAACTAAGTAGAACTTGTTAATTTTGGAAGGCATATTTCCACAAATCACTATAGCATTATATAAAAAATCTTTTGCAAAAATTAATATTATTTGTAAAAGTATATGTTATGATGAAAAAACATTATCGTTACTTGAAACTTGACTGGTAGAGTAAGAGGCTGTTTAATATATCTTTTACTGGGCCTGGTAAGAGGTTGGGTCTGACTTGTCGAGTCAGACCGTTTGATATCATATTTAGAAGCCTCTGACTCGATCTTGACTCCTCTGTATGTCTTTTACTCGACCAATTCAAGGTTGTGTCTAACTCTCATATCATGCTCAATCAGAACTGACTCAATAATCAAATATTAAACAACCCTTGAGACTGATTTGCTCTTAATTCACTAACTGACTAAGATCGAGACTAATTTGGTCCTAAAAGGGACAGGTTCTTTTTAGGATTTATACCAAAAAATCATTATATATATATATATATAACCTTGTTTTGTTTTAGTCATAATTTATTTTTTGTTTCTCATTTTCCATTATATTTTAGAAAACATTTCATTTTCGGGCCATTGGCCGATCAGCAACAGGTCATGATGACGTGTCGGTTTCATATTTTTCTTAGTTTGCCTTTAGCCACAACATTTACGTATAAATTGCATTTAGCCCCAACATTTACGTATGAGTTTGCACTTAGCCCCAATATTTTTTTTGTTCCCCATTTGTCATTATTTTTTAGAAAAAAATTCATTTTAGCCATTGGCCAATCGCGAATAAGTGTTTTAAAATGTAATATCTTAAAATTAAAAAAGGAAAAGACAACAGTCGAAACTACGATTTTTCCTTTAAGGGTGGGGCGTGTTAGCTACTAAATTAATTGCTTTTTTTTATTAGTTTTTGTTGTATTTAATGCATACATGTATTTTAAAATGAAGGAAAAATACATAATATAAGTTCTAATTCTGTGACATCTAATAAATAATATGATATGTTAATCTTTGAGAAAATCAAAATTGTTAATTAATTCATAACTTATCTAAGAAACAATTTGCTATTTCTAATGACATATTAACAATATTTATTAAGAAACCAAATATTTATAAAGAGTCGAAACTTAGACTTCTCCTTGAGGGGTGGGGCGTGTTAGCTAGTAAGGTAATGACTCTTTTTTTTGTATTACCAATGTTTGTTGTATTTCATATACACATGTATTTTAAAATGATAAAAAAAAAAAAAAAAAAAAAAAAAAAAACTTAGCGCAAATCTTGAGTCTGTGACATCTAATAAACAATATGTCTTGTTAATCTTTAAGCAAATCAAAATTGTTAATTCATTCGTAATTCATCTAAGAACAATTTGTTATTTCTGATGACATATTTGTTGAGAAACCAAATATTTCTAATGACATATTTATTTAGAAACCAAAGAAATAAGAATTTTTATTGGTTCGAAGATTAACATATCACATCGCTTATTAGATATCTTGGCTTACTATATTAAATACAACAAACACTAATAATACACAAAAAGGAATTATAGGCTTACTAGCTAATACTCCTTGCCCTTAAAGGAGAAGTCATAGTTTTGAATATTGCATTTTTTTTAAGTTATTATGTTTTAAAATACTTATTCGTAATTGACAAATAGCTAAAATGAAAAAAATTTCTAAAAAATATTGGGAAATGGAGAAAAAAAAAAGTTATGAATAAATGCAAACTCATACATAAATATTGGGACTAAATACAAACTAAGAAAAATATAAAACCGACACGTTATTATGACCTGTTAGTGACTAGCCAAGGACCCAAAAATGAAACATTTTCTAAAATATAATGGCAAATAAGAAAGAAAAAAAAATTACGGGTAAAATAGCACAAGGTCTATGGCATAAACCCTTCTTTTTATATTAATAAAAACCGGACCATCATTTACGACTGGACTTAAACCGAGCTAAAAATAGTGTTGGTGATTCTCTATCGAAGAGAAGAAGACTGAAGAGTGCGCTTTTGTCCTCTATGTAAGCTAATTGGTGGGGACAAATCAAAAGGTGGAAAAAGTTGCGTACTCATTTAATCATGTGTTGTTGGGGACCCTTCTTTTAAAATGACAAGATAAGAGACGCATAACATGAAGCAAATTATCATTTTGCTTCTTTAGATTTAAGAGAACATCTTTTCTTTAACACCATGTCCATGTCCATAATAATAGATGGAGTAACTTGGGTGCATGGCTCATTTATTCATCTAAAACGGGATTCAAAGCATAATTAAGAAAAGGCTACCAAGACTACACCCTCCAAAATCCAAACTACATATATATGTATATACCAAATTACAACAAGAATACGAATTTGACAATGCATCTGCATGTGGTGAAAATTAAGGAAACAATAACAAAAAAGAATCTTCTTCTCCTGTATACAAAATGATATATATAATGGGGCTAATAGCTATACAAAATGCAGGGATTCAAGTAAATACAAATACCAGTGTGTATTTACCAGGTGGAATTGGAAACGGGGATTCCGTGTTTCTGAAACCATTCCGGCATGCGGAACCTTTCGTATAACACCGGCCTTACATCCCTCTGCTCTGAAAGTTGCTTCAAAAGGGGAAGGAGGACCTCCAGAAGCTGTGTTCATTTGTTATGTATCTTTTTCAGTAAACTATTATCATTCATAATAAGATTTGTATGCAAAAAAACAGCATTCTACTTTGAAATAACAAAGTCATCCAAATAAATGAAAGTATGTTGTTATTTCTTGCATTTAGCAATTATGATGTGGATACCTGGTTGTCACGTGGTTGTCCAGCTGTAAAAGGTATACAAGGGATTCCATTCACTGGTTGCAATAAGAAACTGAATGGATTGTTGTCAACAATAACAATCCTGCAAAAATCTTTTGATACAAAAGAAAGGTCCTTCACGTGTTCTCTATATTCCCTGTGAATTATCAATACAGACTAGCCCATGAGTATAAAATCAAGCTACATTAAAGAATAAAGAAATGCTACGAATTATCAGAATAAAGAAGAAGAAGGTATAATACTCACGTGGAAGTTGTTGAAGGCCGATAAAATCGACGGCTAAATCTGTTTTCAGCATCTATTCTGTCAACAAGTGGTTTTGCATATCCTGGAGTGGTAGAAATCAAAATAATAATAAATCAAAAGGATGATGAAATTCAATATCAGATATTCAAGAAAAAGAAAAGTCATAAGCAAACCTTCAAGTCCTGCTGTGAATAGTACAAGATCAGCAAATTTGCTAAGCTGGGCAAGAAATTCATGCAGTCCAGGGCGTTCAAATACTGTCACATAGTTGATCTTTGGCTTTCCATCATATTCCTTCAAATACAAATATGCTATCAGTTAACTTTATATGAATAATGAAGATTATTAAGACTGATGTATGAATAGAACTGTTTCTCACCTTCTCAGAAGCTATGCATTCTAGCTCAAACCATGTCAATCCAGCATCTGTAGCTTGTTTTCGAACACTATCAGGTAAACTAGATGTCTCATAGGCACATACTAGAGTTTCATCCAAGTCAAGAACCACCTGTAGCCACAGATTGAAAGACAATCCTATAGCTTTCTTAGTGTTTCCTCAAAGGTTATGTTTTAATCAACACTGAGTTTAAATCTTTCTCCATGATGTTAAGGGAGACAAGACTAAAACATTCTCCCTACAATTTGCATATTCTCTAATGGGGTCCTACATATTGTCTAACTCTTAAGTCTTAAGTATACAAGTACATGAAAAACTTTGAGTTAGACAGCATAACTAAAGCCTACAGGAGCAAAGGCAACCTAGTTAATAATACAAAAAAGCAAAAAAGCAAAAGCAATTAAGATTGTGATGGGAGAAGAAAAGAACAAACCTTTAATGGGTAACCACTTTCCCTAATGCCACACAGTTAGATTCTAGGTTTTCTTAAGCTACACTAAATTATGTGTATCAATTAGTGCTAATTCATACCATACAAGCAAACCTAATCACTGTATTAATTTTACTTCTCAAACAATGAATCCATTAATTCCACGGAATGGATTGCTGTTATTCTATCAAAGGCTAGTCTATATGACTATATCTCATTCATACAAGCATATAAATGCTTAACCTCTGTTCAGGTTATATAGCTCAATGCAAAAACTTCAACCAGAACCAAAAAAAATTGGTATTCTAAACAAGGTAAAGCTGTTGAAGTACACTCATGACAGAAATAAATGCCAATACTCACCACATCGATCCAATAAAACATCAACACAAATGAGATGAACAGTCACCGTCGTAACGAAATCAAAACGAACAATCAACAAACTAATACGAAATTAAAACAAAAATAAAAACTAAAACTAAACGTACCGTGAGCTTTGCCGAACAATCATAATCAGCCACAGCGGTGGGAATATGAACGGAAGCGGCAGAGAATGTTGCCGGTTGAGAAGATTCAGGAAATTCAACGTCAGGCAAAGGCTTGAACGATGCCGAAGAAGACGAAGAAGAATAATTGATCAAGGAAGCAACGGAAGGAGTGCCTCTAACGATCTGAACAAAGATCTGAAAGAAGAAAGTCAACCAGTTCAACAGTGACCGCCATACTTGTAAGGTCCTTGTCTGCGCATACACTTCAGTTGCTGCTTGGCTAATATCCGCCATCACCGGTTGCCGGAAAAATAAACAGACGCAGTAACTTAGATTGAAATCTGAACCGAGGATTTCACGAAGGATTCGAGGGGTCTTACCCTGCCTCTGTCTGTGTATATATGTATATGTCTGTGTGTATATATGTAATGATTCGTTTTATGCATTTGTATGCATATAGAATGGAATAAGATTATAAGAAGGATGTGAGGTGTGGTCAAGGCGATGGCGCCTCAAGGAAAGGATTGAACAAGATGGGGAGAGTGTGAGAACCACGCGCTTCTATACTTTAGTGGGGAAACGTTAAAGGTGACGTGGAGATGGGATCGGAGTTCAGGGATAGAATTGTCTTTTCCTCCTTGTTTGCCGTGTTGTTCGGTTTATTTGTTACGTTCTTTAACGAATAAAAGCCGTGGAACACATGAAATTTGGCGTCATATAAAGTTGTGAGATATGATATGAGCCTATCATATCTTTGTGAAACTTTATGGATTTTATTTTGATAGCTTATCAAATAATAAAGTATTTTCTTTTAGAGTAAATTACTGAAAGAAAGTGCTCCTGGGTTAATCTGTGTTTCGATCTCGTTTCAATTATTTTTTCACTTGATCATCATTTACATTTAGTGTTGTATGCTTCCTCCATATCCATATTATTAATACTGTTTAATTTTTGTTGTTAACATACTGTAAAAGTATCATTTTACCATTAGTGTTATGTTTGTATTCTATTTATATTGTTATTATGCAGTTATCGCGCTCAAATTTTCAATAGCGGTCACATGCCGCTATTTGAGATCGTGGTTATCGCGGTGGTATAGCGGTGATATAGCGTTTTTTTAATATTACGTATAATTTATAATTTTATATTATATTTATATAGAAGTTATATATATTTGAGTATTAATACTATAAGTCTATATAGAATTAATATCATAAACCTAAAAACTCATATAAAAACATAACATAATATTCGATTATGATAATAGGGAAACTACGTAGTGTCAAATGTCAAATAGAGATTAATTGTATAGCCCATGTTCAATATCGTATTAGTAGGTCATGGTTGATATAAAGAGTTAAGTACCAAGTCGTAGCCTCATGGGTGTGGTTCGATTTACAAAAAACATTAATGGAGTCTGACCATAGCAGCTGAAGTCGTTGTGAGTACAAAAAAAAGATGAGAAAGAGAGTTGTCGGTAGACGTAGTTGCTTTGAATGCTTTTAATTATGTTAGTTGTTTGGGCATTTTAAAATGAAAGTGTAGTGAGATCATTAAAACTAGTTTTTCATTGACAAAGTAACAAAATGACCCTAAATGTGAACGAAAATGGAATAGCGCCCATAGCGCTGCTTTAGCGGTTAGTGAAATAGCGGTAAATAGCGGTGAATAGCGCCGCTAATAGCGGTACCGCAAAATGAAAACGCTAAGTTGAAAATAGCGGTTCCTGACCTCCGCAAAACGCTATAGCGCCGCTATAGCACCGCTATAGCGCCGCTATAGCACCGCTATAGCGCGCAATTGATAGCTTAGGTTATAAGATAATAGTGGGAGCATTCCGAACCATTGTGGCATGCCCGCAGTAGGTTAGGGGCATGGGTTAATGGTTTATGTACATAGCGACAACTACGAACATTCTATGTAAATAGTCCCCTTTTTATGGGTGCAACCTATGAATATCATTGGTAACATGAACGTCCGATTCTATAAGTTATTGGACATAAATGAAATTGTAACTGCAAGCAAACAAATGGTGTATTACAAGTGTGTCTTACCATGCATCCTGGAGCAACAAAGAAAAACTCAAAATGGTCGTTCGCATCTTTCTTGATGTGGGTAACAATTTTTGGATGGGTTCATTCAAGTTATGACAACAAATAGGGAGGTTAGAAAAGATTTTTTCATGAACTCGTTTTTAGTTGTACTTAGTTGATAATATGTATTTTTTTTAACGGTTAGAGATTCATATATTTGAGTTCTAGCAATTACTAGAACTAATAATAAGAACGATACTATACAGGGGGCATTGCATCCAAGCATTCTAAATAACATCTATTTTGGAAGCTCTCTTGTTTAAGAAAAAAAAAATGAATTCAAAATTGTACTATTTTTTTTAAACGATAAACTAACTAACTTACTCTTAAATACCACCTATGTCTCCTGTAAGACTTAAACCTATGATCTCCCATTTGAGAGAATTACTATTTATCGTTAGACCAAAGACCCTTTAGTATTTAAAACTATACTATCAAAAATAGAATTATTATGCATACAAATACAAAAGGTGAATATGAAAATAATTTGTAGTTGATAATATGTATTTATAATTCACAAAAATAGAAATGACTAACAAAATACAAAAGGTGAATATGAAAATCTTTAAAAAATATGTGTGTACCACATTCGATCCAAAATGTACGATACCGGTTCGGAACATCCCTTTTTTCATACTGTGGAATGACTTTATGTCACTATCACCAAACCTTTCGTTGAAATATTATGAAAACCATCTGGAATTGTGTCCAAAATGTGTGTTTTGGAACGTACTGTTAGGGCTGTTGAACCAAACATATTTGAGGACCGGAGCAAAACCAAAAAACATCCCCTCAAAAGAGTGGTTGCAAATGATCGAATACGAACAAATCAGTTAGATAGAGGACGTCTTAACAAATGAGTTGAGACGATTTTGTTTAACAACATAAACCGACTTACTATAGATTATTGAGGAAAACAACGAGACAAAAGAAAGGAAAAATGTTGTTCCATAGGATAGAACCCAGGTAAGTTAGTTCGAAGAAAGACATCTTACCAAATGAATTGAGATGATTTTTTTTAACAACATAAACCGACTTACTATAGATTATGTTTTGAGACGTTTTTAGTTTTTGATATAAAATGACTTCCTTATTAACAGATGCCGACATACTTAAAATTGGGATCCTAGACGACACCCCTCCCCCACTATGGGTTGGTCCTGCATACTTATTAGGTCCAGAATATACGAAATCATTATGGAACATGTTTTCTTTTAGATTCTGACATGTCTTTATGTTATATCTCACCAACCTCTGTTCAACTCCATAACATACCTTAAAAGTCTGGAACATGGTGTTCCGGATTCGGTGTCGTTTTTACAAATCTAAGAAAATTTAGGTTATATTGTTCTGAACCTTGTTTATAATGGGTAGTTTTGTTAATATCCCTACACGTGACTCAAATTGCATAAAACAAAATAATGGTAACGGTCTTTAACAATAAATTAACACTTAGGGACCAAAATGAGCATGTATTCCTTTTCAGTGATAAAGGAGTATCCTAAGATGACGCTCTTCTAGCTACGTGCCCAATCATTTCACAAAATATTTTTAATAACTGTGTGGATCCCACACAGTTTTCTATTATTGCTTTCTACTAATTTTACCAGTCAACCATTATTACCTACTTCTTTGTTATTACGCTTCTGGCCCCTGAACTTTAAAGTATTACAATGACCAATTTACATCTAAAACTTTTCGTAGCAATACCAACCAAACAGCTGTCCCGGTAGAAAAAGTTCACGGGATATCCGACTCAAAAAGCAGTAGATACCAATTGGAAATGGAAACCCACATTATAAACGGACGTCAAGGCTCCGTTAAGTTTCAGTGACAGTTGTATATACGTTGTGCATCTCTACTCTAACCATTTGGAAAATTACGAAACAAGTATTTTCATGATTTCATCATTCTATCACTATTATAACAACAGAAAACAATAGTTTAGTAGCTATGTGGATAAAATACTAAAAATTAGGTTATGTTTATCTATATTTTGTCTTGGGTACGAAATGAAAGCCTATATCTACAACAAAAAACAAATTGAGATTATAAAATGAAAACTAAATTTAACAAAATATAAAGTTTGAATCATGTCTCGTAGGGAAACGAGAGCCAATGATGTTTCAAGGCTTCTGTAGCTGTTGGCCGCCTTTTTGGATTGATCTCAAGTAAGTCGCTAATAAAATCGATGAATAATGTATCGGAAACTTGTATCTGTTCCTCTAATGATGTTTCTTGTGGAATTATGTATTCCTCTTGCTTCGTTTCCTGGATACATCAAAAGTCAAAACCAGACACCCAAGGTCAGTTTTGTAATTCCCAATTCTTCTATGAGCTAAAGCTTTCAAGGGTTATTCAAATGAAACGAACCTCGTTTATCCGATAAAGATCAAACTCGTTTGTGAAATACTTGCTTGTTTCTTGGCCCCTCATTAGCATATCACTATCAATTGGTCCGATCATTCCAATCACTTTTGCAAGCAAGAACACAAGGGTATCGTTTGGAAATAGTACCTGATATGAAATTCGATAAATATTCCAAAAAAGATTCAAAATATGATGAAAGATTCAAGCTTTTGATGACGAACATACATCACCAGATGATAATTCAGCCAAGATACAACCAAGAGACCATAAGTCAACTCTCTGGTCATATGGAAGACCGATGATGACTTCAGGTGCCCTATAAGAACGAGATTGCACATATAATGACAATTTATCGTTTTGAAAACAACTGCTTCCAAGATCGATAATCTTGATCTCACATCTGCTATAGCTTTTGATGAGAATGTTCTCGGGTTTTAAATCACAATGTATAATTCCAAGTCCATGCAAGTATTCCAAAGCTTCCAAACATTGCTTTGTTATCACCTGATCATTTTTGAATTTACAAAAACTATCATTAAAAAACAAGGATTGTGAATTGTGATGATTATAATTTATAAATTATAAAAGAACCTGTAGCCTCGTCATTGTGAAATATGGCTCCCCACCCGAATCTCGATTGAATTTTTGGAATTCATATAAATTGGCACGTAGCAATTCACTAACAATGATGAGATGTTCCTGCAAAAAATTTAAGCAACTTTTAAATAAACTAAATGCAAGAAATAACAAAGTAGTTTCCTTTATTTTAAATGGTGGGATTCAAATTTCTTACATGAAAATAAAAATAATCATAAAGCCGTAAAATGTGGCGTTCATCTGCAGGATCATGCTTGTTTACAAGCTTCAAAAGCTTGATTTCATCTAAGCTTTGATCAAAGAAATCTTTTTCGTTCTTTATAATCTTTAAACAAACATCAACTCCTGTTTGGAGATCACGCGCCTGAACGACTTTACTGAATGCAGCCGAACCAAGATACTCTGTAACAACATATCGACTCCCAATCACACTGTTTAAAACAATCGGTAGATCCTTGTTCTCTTCAAAACCAGTCCTATAAATTCCATAACGAGTCAATACACATATAGCATGCAAAATTAAACACGTCAAACTAACCTGTTTTTCCGGTGTATAATTCTCAAATCAAAAACTTCATATTCGTCTTCATTTGTGGCAATGGCATCGCCTTTTTCAACTTTAGCAGAATCCCGATCACAAAATTCTTGGATTTCTCCATCAAAAGCACCATCGCTATTTACGTTAAAGTCAAAATCTTTCTCACCCGTATTATCTTGCAAGTCATGGGTTCTTTTAGAATCCCCAACAAGATCGTGAAAATCATTCAATTCGATTCCTTTTAAAGCGCTACATAAAGTGGTGGACTTTGTGTCAGGTTCGTAATATTCTGTGACCTCGATGCCCTCTTTCAAATACCCGATGGAGGTAGGCCATACTTTATGAAGACGATTAGTTTTCTCTAATGGGTCTAATAAGGGATTAAGAACCATTTCAAGATTCTCGTTTTGGTTATTTTGATCTAAAGTTGTTACGTATTTATCCTCAGTTGGACGACCGAAAGGATCTGAGTGGTCAAAGCAAGATGGCATAGGCATAGCGTAGTCTTCGTCTTTCTCTTTATACCAATTTAAGTCATTTTGCATGTCAAATTCATGGTAATCACGAGCTGTACCGAATTGAGACAATCTATCTGATGAAGCGTGAGAGTTTGCCCCTGTCGGAATCCTGATCCCATATGGGTTTGTGAATTCTGCAAAAAGTTATACGTTTGAACCTTCATTGTCAAATAAGTCAATTTCCAAATTCAAAATTCGATAATTTTTTTAATGTATTTTACAGATAGAAACCATGACACTGCTACTAGCCTTCTCGCCAATACGATAAGTACCCTTGTTTTAGCTAAATTTAAACAAGTCTAAACCAATTTCGGATCCCAAATATAATTAATTTGACCACAAAAGTCAAGACATGACGTGAAAGTAAATTCTAGTGTAAATTCATAAAAAGTTGATTTTTGGCCCAATTAGATGATAGCAAGTCAATACAGAACCTTAAACAACTGAATATTTGAGGATTTAGGCTCCCAAATCCGGAATTCAAAGTTTTATGATCTAGTAAACAAAGAAACTAAGATCTTGATCTTCATGGTAGTTGCAATAAAAGATAAAGACAAACAAGAATCTGAAATTAAGGAATCAAAATTAAAGACAATAAAGACAAACAAGATAGATTGTGGTCCTAAATCATAAAAGAGTAGTCAAACAGAATCCAATCAGAAATCATGTAGTTAATAAAATGAAATTAAATTAACAGTGAGTAAATAAACTACCAATGCTTGTAATCTAAGCAATCCCAAGGTAAAAACATTGTCTAATTGTTGACTATCTTATAAAGAATTGGGTTTTTTGTTTAGTCAAAGTAATGTAGATTAAATTGGCGATCGATTAAGCAATTGCTATAATAATAAAAAGTCAGCGACTTGGGTGGGTACCTGAGGAGCATAAATCAGTGGTGGAAGAACCCAAGCTGATGAACTCCTGATCGGAAGAAGCTTCGGAGGTCGCAAGATCTTCCGCCGGTTTCAGTGGCGGAGGAAGACAGCGAGCAGCGGGAATCTTGAGAGGTGGAAGTGATGGGGGAAAGAGAAAATTGTGGAAATCGGAAGAACCCGCCTGGGATTTCTCAAATATATCGTCGATGAGTGCAGATTCAGAGACTGAAAGATGGTTTTTTCTGAAGAAATGGAGTACGGATTCGATGTCAGAGGATTCCATGGCAGAGAGAATTTGGAATGGAAATGAGGAAGAAACCGGAAATGGAGGTCAAATGTTATGATTATTAATTGGAGACGTGGATTCTCCATGGTTTCTTTTTGTATTGTCAAGGAGAAGGTGAAGACGTGAAAGAAGGATTGTGGAGGGCTTTGAAAAGTAGGACTGCAACATAGAAAAAGGTTGTGGGTTTATTA